TCCCTTAATAAATGTATTTTGTCATTTATAAGTGCTGTCTTTTAATAGTATTCTTAAACAGCTTATCAGTCAAAAAAAAAAACAGAGACATTAAATTGTGACATTCTACAAAATAAGGCCAGCCTAATGGAGGCACATCCTCACTGATGATCTCATGCACCAACAAAGATGGATGCTGAAGGGCCCCAATTACACAAGATGCTGCCGCACATTAAAGGGATTATGAAATGGGGGGTAATTAACATGTAGTAGTGCAGCTCCTAGCCCGGCATCTTCTTCCTCAGAGGGCGCTTATCTGAGCTGTGATGATGTCACAGCCGGAGCAGGCCTGAAATAACCAGACATCTCTGTAGTGAGCGTTTCCATGGCAACGTAGCCTCCCTGTTTAAATGGTGGAAGGGGGACTGTGTCTCAAATAATTACTTTGGATAATGTGGATCAAATTTTAGGCGAAGGGAGGAGGGGGCGGTTATTGGCTGTTTGTGACTGTTGACTAATGGTACAAAGTCCGTGTCCGAGAGTCACGAAATGAGAGCTTTAATGTTTTCACTGTATATCAGCAGTTTTGAAGAAGGCTTCTTATCTCATCCCTGAACGTTTGACCTCCTGTTTGGATCAAATGTATCTGACTGTCCACTCAGAATGTTTAATGTAATGTAGTTTGCATTTCTGACAGAGTGAGCCTGATATACAATGACAAGGCCGTCAGTTTAACGTCAAAGCACTGAATTAAAATTTTTGTTTTTTGTTTTTGTTTCTCCAGGTATTTGAGAGAGCGTGAGAGTGGCCCGAGACATGATGTCCATTGGAGCTGATAGCTGACACTGTAGCATGAGAGAGGATGGAACAGACAGACAACCCTGCCCCTGAGAGCAACAACCCTAATGGGTTTGTCAATCGAGTGTTTAATGTTTCTCTGGATGTGGAGAATGAAACGAGCAGTGTTTATATTCAGGAGTCGGGGCAGGGAGGTACCCAAGCTGCCTCTTCTCAGTCCCCTGTCAAGGACAGACAGGAGGTCAACCGGAGGCCCCGTGCGTCAGGCGGCATCTGGAAGATCTTGAACCGAAAGAGAGCAATGTCAGAGCTGGATCGGCGACCCCACTCCATGATCTTGCCCGGGGAGGCTTCCATCCCTAAACTCTCATTTGCTGACAAAGTTCGCTCATTCAAGAAGCTCAAGTCACCCTCTGTGTTCAAGGGCAAGGCAGGGAAACTGTCCACAGCAAAGTTCAGCAGCTCGTTGGTGGACGAGGAGTCTTTCTGTCAGGACATTGGCACACCACAGCAGTCCAGCAGGGGCACACTACGACACCGTGGCAAGCGACACTCATATGCTGGCTACACTGCCGAATTTGACTGCTCGTTTGAAGATATTGACCTCTCAGCTACCCTAGACAGCCATCAGCCCCCTGTGACAGGAGAGGCTGTGACTCAGAATGGTTGTAAACAATCTGAAAGAGTTTCCTATACCAAAAGAAGCCACAACAATTCAAACAACTGTAACAAAACAGCTTCAGCCTATGAAGAGCCCAGCATTAAAGGTAGCCTGCGTACCAACCAGGGGACAGGGAGGAGGCACAAAGATGTGTGGAGTTACCTGAGGAGGATTTCTATTTTGGGGAAGGCCAACCCTGTTTACTCAGAGAGGAGCTTTGACTCTGAACTCCCCTCTCTGGACAAAACCATAGACTCAGACTATGGCTCTGTAGACTTTGAGATTGTCAGAGACTTTCAACCTCCGCCCCCAAAACACTCTGACACCAAGGGGCACTTTGGTGGCCTGTTCAAGTTTTTCAACAGCGTAGCAGAGACGGCCAGAAAATGGCGGACAACATCACGGTCCTTTTCGCCTCCAGAGGGAGAGATGACTCCGATGAGCTCCCCGAGGGCCCCACAGCGCACAGTGGACAATATTCACAGTGTGTCCCTGACACTTCACAGCGAAGGACTTCCAACATCCCAGCCTACCCCGTCGTCACCAGTGAACACTAAACCCTTACACTCCAGTAGGTTTGACAGCGAGGCTACAGTGCCTGCGACAGGGGGACGATCCCCTAAGGTGGTCCTGAAAGCCTTCAGGGCATGCCCAAGATCTCAAGCTGTCAATGGCCTCCAGAGTTCTGAGGACAAACACACAGATGGAGAGGCAAACCACACGTCCACAGCCATAGTAGAGAATCACATCCCTCAGTCATGTCCAAACACAGAGTCTAAAGCGGTAACAGGGGTTAAAAGAGATCCATTACACTGTCTGTGTCAGGAGGAAAAGGTAGAGGGACACACAGGAAATGAGCAGGATTCCAAGGATGCTCCACCTGACTCCCACCAGATACAGGAAGTGAACGTGCAATCACAACAAGGTGATAAAGAGAGTACAACCAATAGCGTGTCTGCATCAGATTCCACAGAGGAAATATTTAAGGTATGTGACTTTAATTAACAGCCAATGCATTTTAATGAACACATTTGGTAAATAAGTCAGTTAAGTGTATTCCCAAACTGCTGTTGTGTTTCCTGTGTAAGAAAATTATATTTGCCTCATATTTAAATCCTATAACAACATTCCATTGCAGGCTTTTTCAACATCATTAACATCCCCAGAGGCATGCATCATGTAATTATTGCATAAATGCTAAAACTATCATTTATGTAACTGTTTTAACCATCATCATTATATTGCTTCTTAAAATCTTCAACCCCAAACTAAAAAAAATCAGAGCTGGGTATCAGAGCTGTTACTCATTATATAAGTCCTAGGTGTGGTTCAGTAAATGCCAGCCTGCGAAGACATGAAATGGGCACCTACTCTACAGTTGTCCTGTTGCCCCATCTGTTGGAGAGAATAGGAAATAGTCAGTGGTCACAATGTTGGACAACATGGAGCTGGAGCAGTTTGTTTTTTCCTGCTCATTCGGCCTCCTGTAGCATGCAAGGAAACCCGAGCCGGCCATGTGTGACCCGTGGTAGACCTAGAGCTCTTTGACATGTGAGCTTCATGACGGCACCCTTCCCTTCTCACTCCAGTGGAGGTATTAGTCATCTTCCTCCCCGGTCACACCAACGAGTCAGGACATGTTTGCGCTAACTGCTAATGACAAAACGAGATGTGACATCTGAACAGTCAGCACACTTTTAGTAAGGGTTTATTATGCAAGGGGGGAAGAGCTGTGTGAATGTTTTGGGTGAGGTGCTTATGTGCAGTTTTACAATAATTTGAGAGAAGTGACGGCACCAGGAAAATCCTCCTCCATTATCACAGACTATTTACAAATCAAATCCACCAGTATTTTGTATTTATTTCATCTTCCTTGAAATGTAACTGTAACTAGAATGGCACTCAGTGAGTGCGTACCTCCGCCAAGGCCCCACCGTCCTCTTAAATTCAAGTCAAGTAGCAACAAATTACACACACTCAGAGAGAGAAGTCTCTTTCAGGAAAATGTTGGTTATAAAGTTAAAGAAAGTGTTGTGGCCACATGCAAACAAACAAACAACAAACTAGAAGAGTACTCACCTTTCAAAGGCCCAACAGTCTCCTTATGAAACCACATTTACTGTAAATTCACTGGACCTGGATTTTTATTCTCATCCGCACCAAATTCCATTTTCCAACAAGGCCCATGAATTATTCTCTAAGAAATGTCTCACAATGTTAAAGAAAGTGAAATAATTCCTGGATCCGAACCAAAATTTAATGTGTGCTTCCTTGTGCAATCCTGCTAACTACCAAACATAATGAAAACATAAGAGGTTATTAAAATGCGGTGTTAGCACTTGTGGCAAGCTACTGAAGCATTGAAATTAGCGAAAATGAAATGCTCAATATATTTTGTTGAATTTATAGAGGTATTCCTCCCAGTTCTTTGCACAAGAAATGCATTGTTGCAAACTGCTGAGTATCTGTGCCAATCACAGCTGTGTGAGCAGATTGCCAGCCAGACAGGCTGCAGTGTAAGACAGCCGGGCTCAGCCATGCCCCACTCTAGCACAGAGAGGACCTCTGTACAACACAAGCACCCCCGCACTCGTCCTCGCCCGGCCTCGGCTGTCCTGGACCTGTGGAGGCCCAACCAAGACCGAGATCTCTACAGCCACTACAGTGATGTCGGCTCGCTGTGTCGGAGAAGACGCAGGCCTGCTCCCGCCATGCAACATTCCCCGGGGCAGAGACGGGTGGCTGCTCGCTCCAGGCCCTGCTCTGTCATAGAGACCAGTGTTACTAGGGAGACGCAGTCCATGGAGATGCACCACAGAGTAAGATGCCACATAGCAAACACAGGCATTCATGCATCACTGACAGCTAACGTACAAACACTGACACTACGGCGGCAAATGAGTAGTTCCACAAATATCCAAATACACATCTATACTGACTCAGGCATCACATCCCGATGTTGCAAAAATAAAAGTAGAAGCACAGAGTTTCACTTGTAGTCTACAGCAAATCACTGATAAATACAACCCAAGCCCATAATGAATCACACACACACTACGGACTTTGAAGGGCAGCCCAGTGCTAACCCAGTATTTATACACTGCTCACTGTTAGCTACAACAATGCATGCATGCTCTGGCCCATTTATAGAGGCCTGTATTTCTGGACTCTGAAGCCGCTTTTCCATCAGCTCACTTCCCCCTCTCCCTCTCGTTTTCTTTTTCCACTCTCACACTCTTTCTTTCTGTCTGTGTGGCCTCTCTCTCACTCTCAGTCTCTCTCTGTGGCCAATTTTCTGCCTCATCGCTCCCATAAGCTCTACCTCACATTGCCCTAACTCGGAGTCAGTTCATTTTAACCTGAGAGACCGCCTGGTTGGCATGATGTATAGTCTCATGATCTGCTGCAGGGCATGCACACACTGACCGATGCACCAGAATAGACTGAATGTGAAATACTTTAATTCACTGCAAAAAAAATGGGGGCAAGGCAGCAAGAAGGGTTTTGTTATTGTGAAGGGCAGAGGAGTGTGTGTATCAAAGTAACTCTGTATAGAATCTAGGATATGCCCTAACTACTCAGTCCCCTTCAGGCCTTGTCTCGCCCACCGGGCGTGTCACCATTAGAGCCCCCACTTCGGGCATCTCTCCAGCGGTGCAGCTCCATGCCGCTTTCCCCCAGCACACTCACGGCCTTGGCGCTGCTCCTTCCTCACTCAGGTACAATTTGACTTTTTAAAGATTTTACATCAAATATGCAAACTCGTGATTGCCGTGTGTTTGTTAAATTGATTACCTGTCTGCGTGTCTGCCCAGCAGATATGGGTCAGTCGTCATCGTCGGTGCGTTTGCGGTCCAGAGACACCGGGAGCTGCAACAGGAGGAGGCTGTTGAGACCTGGCTCAGAACCACTGCAGGTCAACATAGTGAGTGGCAAGGTTACACACACACATAGACATTTACAGATTGACCAATTCCCTGCTTTTGTGCTGTAGTAATACTGTAAAACACTGTGTTTACTGTGCATATGATATTAGGTGTCTGTATACACATCCAAAGTGTACGTGCCACACTGAATCTGTTGATGGTAACGTGAGTACATGTGAGATAATAGGACGATAACCTTTCACTGATACTACTAATATGGAGATGACAGAGCGCTGGTCAGTGCTCCTTCAGATAATGAAGGAACTGATCCATGAAGACGGTGGCCATGTGGATTAATGTCATCCATTACTCTTAGGCCATTACTCACCCTGAGTTATCAGGACACCTAACATTTCAGATGTTTGTTTTTTTTATCTGATGAGAGCACGTGAAGCAGCAGAAGGTTGTGTGTGTGTGTGTGTGCGTGTGTAGGGGGGGGGTGTTACGTTATATCATTTCGATATACCTGGTGTGCTGGAATCCGTGAGAAGTGTAACAGGGTCCTTTGTCGGTTGTGTGAAATTAGCTTCAGATTACGTTGGTGTAAATCTACTCAGGATGTGAAACCAGGCATTTCAGAATCAGCGCTTTGATGTGCAAGTGGCCTCCAGGGGATTCTAGTGGAGGGAGATGCAGAGTTTTTCTGAAGCATCCTGACGGGGTAGTGAACATTTCTGGGGATGTGTCCAACATCTATTACTGCAGAACTGCAATGTTATTTACATTGAATATTCACTGAGAACTGCTCGCTCTGAATTGTATCCACTAGTGATGGGTAAAAGTTTACCATTTTGGTTTGATATTACTTGATATCAATAATTGTTCAGATAAATGTTACATTCATTTTGATTTTAAAGACTGAGTTTTGCTCCTGAGTGAAGGTTGTGGGTTTAAACTGGATGACATTTTACACATCTGAGGTAGATCAATTTTGTTGTATACATCCTCAGTGTGCTTGCACAATGCATGAGCATTATATCTTTATACTAAACTTAAAATTGTTATATAGGTATTGATGAGAATTTTTTCTTTGGTTCATTAAAAAGCATCATTGTGATGTTTTATTGCACGTTTCATTCAGACGTATAAATGCATATTCATAAAGATCTATTAATAGAGGTTGACTTTCCAAATAATGTATTGAAGAATTAAATCATCAGTGTTTTTTAAAGAGTGAATATACATAGTGGAGAGATGTGGAGAGAGCTCATGTTTCCTACAACAGACTCAAATTTAAACAGTTTACAAGGAGTCAGCAAGGATTTACCAAAACATCTGAGGTACAATAGTTAGTTGATTTTCATGACAGGGATGCCGTCGACTCAATGATTGAATCATGAGCCCCGGGCTTCCAGTGCTGGCATGTTCTTTGCATTCAAATTTTGTTAAACTGTGTCTTTGAAGAGGTGATACTACTGCATTTAGGCTGCGATTAAGATTTCCTATTCTTCCCGGTCTAAATAGTGTTTGTGAGCCATCGCATTTTGTTGCCATGACACTCGCTGGCTCCTGTTCATCTTCTTGCTTCTATCTTTAGGCAGCCTTTTTAAGTGTGAGCTAAATAGAGAAAGTGTGTGGGTGAGAGAGAGAAAAGGGGTGGGAGAAAAACAGAGAGGGGAAGAGAGATGCTCCCTTTGTGTGTATATGAATGTGTATGTGTGTGCACTTTTGTGTCATGGCCCTCCCCTGGGGTAGGGAACGTGGACACATAACACTGGAAATGTTTTGTGTGTGAGTGTTTGAATGGCGAGGGAAGTTCATTTGTAGCGGGCTCAGATGGTGGGATTTGTGAGTGCATCTTGAGCATTGAAGTAGCAAATATATATTTATGTTTATACAAACTGTAAATGCACAATATGGCATAACATTTCAGTGCAGCTATAGTGTAGTCATAACGATGGACGCTGCTCCAAAATGAAATCTGTGTGTTGCGGTCTAATTGCTGGTAAGTCATGCATTGTTTATTTGGTGTTGGTTCTCATGTCAGGATGGAATCTGCTGTTTGTGATGGAGCAGTGTACGTTACAGTCGTCCTATTAGGATGACGACTGGAGCCTAGAGGCCGCAGGCAGAGAGAAAGTATTCTCACTGCAGTGGATTATCTGCTAATGCTGACGCCTCTCTTCTCCCTTTCATTTAAATGGATTTCTCTCTCCCAGCCACTGCCCTCTTCTCTTCTCTCCTCTCCTCTCCTCGCTTCTCCTCTCCTCCTCTCCTCTTTGTTAATTCCTATGTAGATGAGAGGACACTTTCCTGCGTGTTACTAATGCTGTGCCCGAAGCTCTGCTGTCAACTTGTCAGAAGGGTGGGGGACTGTCTTATTAAGTGCTTCATGCAGCTTAAGAGTTTCAACAGAAATCTTATATGATTAAGTTTGGGCCAACCTGGGTCGGCCTGGTCATAATCACATTATGCAATGCCATCTATTTATTATGAACGCATGAGTCAGCAGGCAGTGGCTATTTGGGCAAAAAGCAGGGCAGTGATGAAAAAGGACAATGTTGAGTTGAACTTCTCATGCTCACTCTTTTATACACACGTGGGGAGCACTGGGCCTTATTTGGTCATTCAACCACGTAGATTCTGTTGGTATGTGCATCCTCTGTATTATACATCCTCCTCATAACACTCATACACTTCACATGCTCTTCTGAGTCACTGCAATAATGACTTTGTCAGGGAATGAAAAACTCCGGCTGGTGATATCTCTGTCAAATACTCTGTGAATGTGTCGCATTTTGTTTCACCCCAGGGTTTTATTTCAGAGCCCCGTGAGACAAAGCGTGGGAGTAGGTCTCCCTAAAAATAACTGCATGTATGTACAGTTTGGACTCTGAGCCACAGGTGACCTAGAATCCTTCATCCTTCCTCTGCCTGGGTGCAGGCACGTATCTGCTGTGACTTACTTGCAGCCACCAGCTAATGCTGTTTTGAAGGATGCGGTGGCCTCTGATAAATAGTCGGTGCCTGACTGAATCTGAGCAGGTGGCTGTGACAGAGCCTCCCTAGGCTGTTTATTCCAAAGAATGGGTTTGTGCCTGTCAGGTGTGTGTACGTGTATCGTTGTTGTTGTTGATGGTGCATGCATAAGCGTGCGACTCCATGCTTATGTGCTACATGTTTCTGTGTGTCTGTGTGTGTTATGGGAGAGAGAGCGGCTCAGGGCCTTTTCTCTTATGTAACTGTCGAGAGGGTTTCCTCTGCTCCCTGCAAAAGCCATTTCCACTTTTATTTCAGAAGGCTGCATGTTCACTGGAGGAACAGTGTTGCCTGTTAATTCTCTGACTCACTGGTGAATCCTGTTTTACAGTATTATACTCTGTGTTTTGTCAGATCATGCATGCCCGTGCATGTGCAAATCTCTCTTTGTGCTTTCTTGGGAATACACTCTTTTTCATACCTCATCGGGGCCAGTATCTCTATCCTACCATCATCACTCAAAGCATATTGTGCTGCTGCCACTGAAGGACAGTGGGGGCAATATTGGAGGATGGTTTAATGTCACAACATGCACAGATTTTTGTTATGAGACTGTTTTCAGGCCCAGGGCTCTCCAGCGCTTGTTATCCAGCATCAGTTGTATCGTTTATGATAGCTTTCCCAGGGTGCTTAGATGGTTTTACCCACAGTCATCATCTTCCTTTGTTTGGGAAAAAACACTGTTTATTTTCATGGCAATATGGCAAGTTCATAAAAGGGTTAAAGGCGTTTTGATCTTAAGTCAACACAGAAGAATATCACCTTGTGATAGGTAAAGTGATGATGCCTCATGCTCCTGTGGGATTTCTTTATGATGAAAAAAACCCAAGCCCAGATGCTTTTCAGTATTTTTGTGTTTTATTTCCACTGAAACCTTTCACTGTTTTTTATTTTTTAACAACTTTACAATTCATTTATCTGTAAACCATTGTTCAAATCCATGATTTGAGTACAAACAAAGAAACTTAAGAATTCTGCTCTGGAAATCTGGCACTCAACTGAGTGATTTTCTGACAGCATCAGTTCTGTCTTGTAAATATAAGTTGATACTTGTTTTCTCCTACGCGCAATCAAAAATGACTAATCACGCCTTTCATTCCTACACACTCAAACGTTTGTGGTTAGATCTGTCAGAACAGTTAAAACATGTACTCAACAATGTGTCATTAGGGGTTAGAAAACAAAGGAAACCAGTCAGGTGTTTACTCTCACCCATAAGCCAATACATTATTCAGGCCTGATTAGACATTGTCATCTCGCTGCTTTGTCAACATACGGCTAATTTCCTTTAACTTTTGTCTTGAGGATCATGTGTGATTTATAGTTTGTTTTCTTTGTATTTAAAACTGAGTGAACTCAATCATGCTGACATGTAAATTCATAATTTTCTTCTCATTCATTGTCAATCAAATGAGCTGTTGCCCCTAGAGGGAAAGAAACAACTTTCAGATGCAGAAATATCCCCAGAAGGGAGCAGCCCATAATAAAAAACATCCAAAAGAAAGACCCCATTCAAGCTTGAAATCTTAATTACCAAAGATTATTTTGAGCAAAGTTTATATAGATATAAACATGATCATAGTATGCTTTTTTATTTGGACAGATTTTGTATATATACTGTATAGTACTGTATATAGTAACACTGTCATAGATTCATTCTGGACTAAGCTCAGAGTAAGGGCACTTTCACACCCACCTTGTTTGGTCCGAACAAAGATAACAGGTGGTTCAGTTAATTTACTGTACATTGTTAAAATCCTTATTTGCATAGTTCGGCCTTTCTGACCAAATCCAGGAAGGTGAGACAGCATTAAACAGTAGAATAAGAAAAGAAGCAGAAGCCTTTTTGGTCTCTCCAGAAATGGACTCAGGCTCAGAGGATCACTTCAAGTTTTCACCTCAGACAATATAATGATTGATGGACGAGAAGTTGATGATACTGGTTGTAATACCATAATAATATTAGTGAAATCAAAATTAACCAAATGAACCGGTTCATTCATCTTTTTACATTTAAATGGAAATGCTACTTTTTTATTGACCTTTATTCAAAAAAGGTTAGTGAGTACTGTCAATGATGAGATATTTTTCAAATACTTTACTTTAATACTTAACTTTATTTTTCTTTACTACATTTCTAGACCACTGCTGTGATCTAAATATATGTTGA